CTAAATTAAAGATAATAAATTCAATAAATACATAATACAATATAAAACGCAATACAATAATATAGTGATAAAATCACAGTACCTACAATTTTGTTATGGAGAAAAAAAAGTTTGTAAAATCTTAAACTGAACTACTAAAGACAATAAATACATAGCACAATAATAATAATATAAAACAAAATACAATATGGTAGTAAAATCACAGTTGAATAGAATAGTGGTACGATATATAGTATAAAAAAGAACAATTTTGTTATGGAGAAAAAAAGTTTGTAAAATCTTAAACTGAACTACTAAAGACAATAAATACATAGCACAATAATAATAATATAAAACAAAATACAATATGGTAGTAAAATCACAGTACAAAACAATAGTGGTACAATATATAGTATAAAAAAGAAAACAATATAATGATGAAATAGTATAGAATAATCAAAGGAAAAGTTTCAGGAAATAATGCAACTCAGTTCAATTTTGAAGGTATTTGTGGAGCTGCTAAAGATATCAACCTGTTGATACATATTCCCATTTCTGAGCATTCGAGTGACAGGAGAGAAAAACCTTAATTTGTGGAGTGGAACGGTATTTTAAATGTTTCGGTACTGACTCTGGTCTGTCTGTTGATATTGTCCGTGCTTCTTCCGCATTTCCATTTACTAAACCATAAAGTGCATGTCAGCCATTTCAGCGTTAGTAATATAATTCATGATGGTCTCACTGCTAATTGACAAATCTGACTTTCACCGATATGACAACACTATCACTGTCAGCTGGTCTCCAAACAGATGTTCAAGATATGCAAAGTGGCTTCAATTTTTTTTTCTCGAAAACGAAGCTAGACGTGAAGGAAACACAAGCGACGAAAAAGTTGTATTTTTAGTTGATTAATCCAATTTTCAATATTGTAACTTTTTCAGTGCTTGTGAAAAAAATTGTTATAAAAATTGTATGTACCCCCTTTAAGGGGCTGTATCTTAACAAGGGATGCTCCAATGAAGTTTCTTTATATGAAAGATCCTATCTTTTATCGTTATTATATCGTTAATTGTTCTACGAAAAAAAAATCTTAGGAAAGCACTGCTTCAATATTATTTATATGTATTTTATAATGAGGAGACCCGACTGGTGACGCATACTCCAAAACAGATCTTACATAGGCTAGGTAAACAATTCTGGTGCCATCCACTTTTAGATTCTTACAATTCCAGAAGACAAAATCAACAAGTTCAGGAGCTTCATTGATATTGGTGTGATGGTGTGGGTGGTGAATGAAAGGTTTACATTAAAGATTATAGCCAAATCTTTTGTTTCATTGAACCGTTTTAGATTGACATAGTGGAAGAGGATTGTGTTATTTGATTTTTTCTGGACACAGTATATGCAGTATCATCAGCAAACATGATTGAAGGACAGTAGCCCCAGGACAGAACTTTGATAGTTGTGTCTTTGGGACTTGATAATATTCCTTTGCATAGCCCAATAAATTATTTCGGAAACCATTTTACCATTTTAATTACAAAAAATTCAGAAAAAATAGTGTCATGTTCTTTTGACAAATCTGAAAAAGTGTCACTACCAGTTTGTTTAAATCAACTTCTGTATAACTGAAATTTAATTAATGGGATGAAACTGATTCAATTTACTTGCTTTTTCTGAAGCTATATTGGTTTTTACAAAGAAGATTGTTCTGACCCATGTAGTTCAAAACTCTACTACTATAACGTTCTCAAACAGTTTAGAGAGCGCAAAGCAAAAAAATTCGACAGTAGTTATTTACCCTCTGTTTGGCTACCTTTTTTATGTAGCGCCTTTTTAAACATATTCGAAAAACATCCAGCAAATATTGACTGATTCTTCAGGAACATTAATGGATTTATTATAAGTTCAGTAATTTTTCCACAGTAACTGTCGAGGTGGCATCATTGTTCATCATTACCCAAATATGTTTAAGTTTCCTTATTGTAATTCCTTATTAATTACAGTGTTCCCTAATTTTTTCTTTATAAATCTGCATACTTGAAAATCTACACTGTCGCTAGCAGTTTCTCTTGAAGCTTTACTCTCTTTGATGTATTCATTTGAAATTCACAAGTTGAATTCACTTTTTTTGACCTAATTCTTTTAAAACACCAGGAAATTTAAGTGAGGGTGATACCTCTCCTTACGAAGATGCCATCTATGGGATCGACAGAGAACTCAATCCTTGAATATTAAAGATAAACGAGGCTTCCAAGGCATTCAGTTGCAATTTATTCAACACCAGGCAGCGCTGTTATGACTCGCCATTGATCTCATGGAGTGGTGTTACACTGAACCATAAACGCATCGGTGGACTCAACTGTCCTTAAAGAACAAGTTAGGTGATGACACCTCTCTTTATGAAGACGCCATCTAAGGAAGCGACAGGTAACTCAATCCTCGAATATTAAAGATGAAAAATGTTTCCAAAGTGGTCAGTTGCGAAGTCAAGTTTCAACATCGACCGCTGATGAGGCAACTAGTTGGAAACCAGAGCCCAAACACAACACATTTATGATTCAGCACGCCATACGTTTTATTAGTGGTGCTAGGCTGAAACACCATGTCAACAATTTTATAGTTTGATTTTCTTGCAAGTATGAGAGGTTTTCAATGAATGTGGTTTTTGTCTAGTAAAAAAAGCAATCACTTTGTAATTCGTGAAATACTCACAATTAAAATTGTTTGTGAGCCAGTGTTCTGAAATACACAAAATATATAGTTTAACTGAAAGCAGGTTATTTAAAAAGCCCCCATTCACATGAAAATCGCTGATATCAATAAAAACTTTGTCTTTGAAACAATGATTGTCTTCATGGTTAAACGAACCCAGGATACTATTCTTTGAGATTAACAAGTTCAACATCAAAGGTTTGGAGCTTCCTTGGAGAGTTGAGGGTAAAAAAACTCTTAAATCAAGACATCTCCTGGAGGTACATTAAATAACTCTGGAAGTTCTTTAAGTGGCGGCTGACTTGATACGAGTCTGTGTTCTGACTGAAGAGCTGTGCATGAAAAGTTGTGTGATGGCTTGAAATCGGTAGACAAACTTGAATTAGTAAGATCAAACCCATAACTTCTGTAGATACATTGATTCACAATGTAGTTACATTCGATGAAATTGGTAAACTTTTTCATAAGGAGCATAGTCATTTCTTTTTTTTTTGATAAGCTTGTTGATGTGTGTTGTTAAAGAAAGATTTCTATTGTAGAAGCTATTTTCCGGGTTTTTTGGCCGTGGTCTGCAGGTTTTTATGCCTGACGTTTTTTCTACTACTGGGTAGATATTATCAAAAGCGATGAGGTAACGGTCGAGGTGTTCGAGTTTTTGTTCCCGACGCAGAAACTACAAAGCTGGAATTTGTCTCCGGTTTTATATTATCATAGGTGGGCGTGTCTTGGTTTATTTTAATTGAATTACCTTAGCTTGTTTGTGTACAGTTGAAGACAGATATTAAAATTATCCCTTCAATTTTGAATTTCTATTGATTCTCTATATACTCTTACATAGTTTTATCAAGTATTACTGTATCTTCGAATAAGATAATGTGAGAATGACTTACTATGATATCTTGAGCGGATAGATTCTCTTTTATGGAAATTGCTACTCCTCCATCTTTGTATTTATTTCTGCAGAAGAAATTTACCAATTTGTAGTTGCTTATATCAGCGGACTGAATTTGTTCACTTGTCAACCATACGTCACTTAAACATGCCACACAGAACGGATTATCTGATAAGAACATAGACAAGTCATCTGATTTGTTGCTGAGAGACTGTACATTAAGATGGAAGATACTAAAGTTTGATTTCCAAGTTGTAGTTTTGTCACACAGTTCAAATTTTTAAGAGCTGTCCTCAGTTATTTTGGGATATAAAGATGTTTGATGATTAGAAGGGATGTTTTCTGTTGTATTCATAGAAAAGTCGTTGGTTGGTTATTCTGTACCAACCACGAATAACTGGTTATCCTTTCATATGATTAACGGAAAAACAGAACAGATGTTTTGAGTTTTTTTATGCACACATTATCTGTTTTCGTATAATCTTTGACTTTTTTCTCGATAACTGAGTCAAGTACGCGTGAAATGTCTTCTCCTTCTTTTTGTTATTACTTAGAAATTGTGCTGTTTTTCTTCAACATCTTCGTCAACATTGTAAGTTCGTTCATTTTCTGTTCAATTTGAATTTCCGATATTTTGGCAGCAATCTGATCCTCTTTGAAAGTTGAATCACCCTGTAGTGGGAATTCCTGCTTCTTCTCTGAAAAATTTTATATTGGTTATGATCTAACACGTTTGCAGTCTCTCTTTTTTTGATTTGTTTGCTTGCCTTAAGCAAGTAGGTTGAAATACTCCCTCACATTTGTTATGCTTCACCTCGTTCACAACTTTTTTCCGATATTGTTTACACATGAGATCACTGTTTTCTTTGGAGTAAAGTGACAGCGGACTTCTGCTTGCCGCCATGTTGCTTATTTATTTTCAAGAATTTGTCGATTTGAAGTCCCAAAAACTTAATGTCTCCTGTATATGTTTTAATGATATTTTCAATACCCAAATTTTCTGGTGTTTCTATCTGTAATAAATAAGTTGTAAAAAGTATGAGATTAGTTTTGGATTCATATAAATTTACTTATTTCTATCGATCATTCATTTGTATCACTTAACATTCCAACTTTTTTTCTACTTCGAAGAATGTTTCTTTGTCTATTAATAAATAAGTATCATGTAATTTGCAACTTTGCTGTCAATCCCATAGACGACATCTTCGTAAGCAGAGCTGTTGTTTGGTAATCTACCTACCTATACTCAGGCTTGTGTTTTGAGGACAACTGAGTCCAACAATTAACTTATGGTTCAGCCTAGTACCATTGATAATAATATGATGATGGACTCTAGTTTCAACCTTTGAAGAATATAAATCAGTATTTAAGAAAAATGAGAAATTATGATAGTTATTCAGAAAATTCACCCAAAATAAAATATACCAGCAAAAGCCTTTAACAAAATTTCTACAGTAATTTCAAAACAAAGAACTTCTCTGATTTTTTATTATTGATTTTTGGCATATGCGACTTCTCGTTACGACTTTTGATTTAAGGTAAATACCAGCACATTTTTCTTAATCTGTAATGCATATTTCAAAGTGAAGATAAAAAAATATAATTTCTAAATTTTCGGTTGCTTCCGTATATCTTAGAAAATGAAAGAACTAAAATATATTTTCCAGTATCATTCAATAGTACCTAAAAATAGTAATTTTTGCCAGAATTTAACTGAATATCACCTACTGATCACGATGTCCCCATGAATATACTCGAATTTGTATAACCCTGTATATAGACTACACTTTGCATCTCCACCATTGACTTCCATCTTCGCAAATATTTTTACTTTACTCCATGTAGATCGATTTTTCTTCATTATAAATATCAATGGAATTTATAACCTTCAGAGATCAATAATTGTTTACACAAACCAGGAGATATTGGTCTATGAACGGAAGTATTAAACATCTGTTTCGATTGTTGCATCAGCATTTTCGAATATCAATACCAAGAAATTGCTATTGTTTGAATAGTAAAAATTCACAGTGAGTTTTTATGGGCTTTCTTATCAGCCTGACCACACTTGGTTTATCATAATGGGATGAATTAGTCACCAAAACACATTTTTCAAAAATATTATTGAACTTCAAATTTCATGTAAAATCATTTTGAAGAATACTTTTTGTTACATGTTAATCATACTGCAAGCGTGATTGAACTGCATAAGTTTTATTTTTTTGTAAAAACATTTTTAGCTTTCTATTTCTTTCTTCTAAAGAAAAGAAGAAAGATAACCATAAGAATTCTATATAAAGATATTAAGATCAAACACAGAATTTTTTTCAGATGAAAACAACTACTTTCGCATGAACATTGAGTTACAGGAAAGGAAAAAAATCTTTTTGAAACAACTAATTTCATATTAACATTGTATAATAACACCATCACTTTTCCCTATATATTCTACACTCCAAATATTCATTATGTAATTGAAACAAAAATCATTCATAGAAATGCAACACATCGTAATATATAAAATAGTATTAATATACAATGTCACTTATATGGAAAGTTTTCATCCTCAGTGATGTTATTAGAAGTTTCGGGATAAGATACTACCTTATCACTACTGTTTCAATAATAACATTATAAAACAAAGCACACATTTCTTTCATAACATTATGAAGAGGCAACTCTGCTCTTGTCAGGATGAAAATCGTTAATTCGGCAGAAAATTGGAACAGAAATTATTATATGCTACAACAGGTGTTGAAGATTTTTTTAGGTATGGTATAAAATAGTCTTGGGATAAACTCAAGATAATTTGTCTGCAGCACTCCCACTACTGAGTAGCAAATATTGAGTGAGGTGGGGAAATAATGTTCTTGAGACAAGGGTACCAGTTAATTGCATGATTCTGACACTGCAATAGTATATTAACGCAGGTGTTATTCAAGGTGTAACAATGGCTGAAGATGAAAAACAGTGTTCTGGTGACTGTTCAGAATGTTTAAAAAAAAAAGAGGCCATGATGTTGCTGACTGAAAATGTAGCCATTATCGATAGTAGATGTTTGAAAAGTATGCGAGATGAATTGAAGAAACAAAACGGAATGCTCTCAATGTTGAGGAAAAAAAATAAAATGCTGTGCAATTCTATAAACCAACATGGATCAGAAGTTGAAAAATTAACAAATCACTTAGAAGCACTGAAAACGGAGAATAAGGAGTTGAAAGTAAAAGCAGAAAATCATTCTAAGTTGGACCAGAAGTTATTGGAGCAAATACAAGTTAATGAAGACATATCGTATGAAAATAGAGAACTCAAATCGAAGCTAGATTTGAACGCTAATGATCTACAAAAGGTCACACTGGAAAACCAAATTGTTGTAAACGAAAATTTCTTATTCAAATCCAATATTCAGGGGTTGGAAGAGAAATTGAAAGAAACAAAACAGAAATATGAAGAATGCAATGAACAGTTTAAAAAAAAACTGTGTGAAAATCAGTTGCTGAACTCTCAACTTCAGGAGTTTTCAAAAAAAATATCTGATTTGGAGAAAACAAATAATAGACTCGTTAGGAAGAATAAAGAACTTGAAATACAGAATAAAAGATATTCAAGAAATAAGAAAGAATTGGCTTCTGAGTTGGAAAAGCAAAAACAAATGTATTCCGAAGAATCTAACAAAAATAAAATTCTCTTTGATACCAATAATGAATTGACCAGTCAGGTAGAGGAAACTGAACAGAAGCTGGTCAGACTTCAACAAACATTTGACGACCTACATAACGAGAATAACGCTCGATTCATAGAATTGGAGCAGTTGCAGCTAACCAAAATAAACTTGGAGAAGGAACTGGAGTCCAAAGATAACATAATACTGGAGAGATCAATGGAGGCAGCCAAAAATTTTGATTATAGAAATAACATTTTTCAAGTTCTGAATGAAAAAGAAACAATGCAACAACAGTTGCTGAATGAATTAATGAGTTTGAAAAATGAAATATCCAACAAAAATATACAAATATCGGAAATGACTATGTCGAAGAATATCATTATTGAGGAATCTAAGTGTCGTCAACAAGAAATAATAAAATTGTGCCGTGATCTTTCTGAAAAAGATGACATAATTGATACACTGAAGAATGAAAACAAATCATTACTGGAGTCACAACCAAAGGTAAGATAATTAGTAACAATATTTATTCCTATTTTTTCATGAATCAACACACTTTATTGTTAGAGAGTAACTAGGATAAGTAATATGAATGTTTATAAATATTAAATTGAAATGAAAATCTTTCTAGAAGAGATTAGGTTTTGGGAGAAGAAGCTTGTTGGCTTTCTACTTCTCCATCTTTATTCAAAAAATTTAGAAAATTCCAAAAAAAAGTAGGTGATTCACTTTAGTAAACTCCTCACAAAGATATGTAGAGCATGAACAAAAGTTTCTTTTGGATACAAACTGGAAGAAAATTGCTTTTTCCTATTCAGTTTGTACTACTCCCTCTTCAATTTAAATAAAATTACGGATTAATTCAAGTAACCATAAATAAAGAAACTTCTATGCGAGATTTAGATATCTTTGTGAAGAGTTTATTCTAGTAACACCATTGTGAGCTTTTCACTGAACAGTTTTAAAAACCGCAACACATGTTTCGCTATACAATACAATACTGCAGTATGAAGACACTTGAGAAAGCTATTGTATAGTGAAACACATGTTGAGGTTTTGTAAATTGTTCAGGTGTTACTTGAATATGTCTTGAATTTTTATCAAGTACCTATCAGCCAATTCCATTACACACTTTCCTCCTTTTTTTTGTAAGTTTCTCGAATTATTCAACCACTTCTTCACCCTCATTATAAATCCAACTTGATTTTTGGAGAAAAAGTTGATTTTATCTAGATAATTTTCAATTCTCCACTTCATTTTTTTTGCTCAAATAATTATTGAACTGATAGATCTTTACCCATTTTCGTTGTTTATATATGGGTTCGAAATGAGTCTGATTTGAATTTGTTTGGTTATATTCCAGATAAAAACATCAAATGAACCAGCGGCTGTCTAAGTTAAAGGTAAGGTACATTCCGATTCTATTTCTTCTTTCAAAATCTGATTTCTGTTTTGTTCATTTCTTCAATGCATATGGATTTTCAACTATACAATAGTGATTGAATAATAAACTCGAAATATTTTTTTGTTTATCATTAATCATTACTGCCACTATTTTTTCTATTCATATCGAATTTTTACTGACATCAGTGTAGTTTCATATTTCATCATTCATGTTCTAATTGTTCTTTTCTTTCATTGAATTGAATATTGATGTATTTTCATTTACATAAATTTGGTTTCTTTCAATAAGAATGAAATACAAATTATCAGAATTTCTCAACGCAAGTGTAATTCCAATTTAATATTCGCGATAGTTTTTTATGGGCCACATAACATTTACCTAAATTAGTAGTTAGTGGGGTTTACAACAAATAAAATAATTCACTAATGATCAACAATACAGTAATCTAGTTTATAAGTGATTGATTAACTCATCCATTTTTTTATGAATATTTATGATTTATGATATTTTTATGAAGTTATATTTATGAGAGGTAATGAAGTTTTCTATTTTTGGGACTTTAAACCGTTTTAGGATCTCACAACTAACGTCATCTACAACTATTATAGTATAAGAAAACCAATAATATGCTATCAGTCCAATATTTTGTGCAACTATGTTAAAAAAGTAAAATTTCTCAGGAATGATATTTGAACTAGTTATTTTGGTAATATCCACCTAATTTTTTTTCATTTCATTTTTTTCTTCACCTAAACCAATTGAAGCAATATCCTGTGTTTTCTTTTATTTGTTTCGTTTATTTTTTAGGACTTTTATTCGCCTTTATAATTATTTGCATTGCTATTATTAGTGCATTCTTATTTCATGTGTATTATATTTTATATCAGTAATGTTGATCGAAAATATATAAATAGTACTCAGGTGCTCAGTAGCGGCACTAAAGTTTTGGTTTCAGATGTTTTATCACTTCCCAACCCATTTTACTTAGACAACTAAAATCTGAATCTACACGATCACTGTTATAAAAAAAAATAAAAATAAAAGCAGAAATAATATTTCACATGCAGATTTTGCTAATTGAAACCTCGTCAAGGCAAATAGTATTTTGTTCATATTTAGTTTCTTGGTATTTACAATTGAAAATTACAAATTAAATTCGAAAGAATAACATCACAACTCAAAAAACTCGTTTTACACTATGCAGGGCGTTGTAAAATTAGAGTTCAAAAAGTTTCAAAGTCCTAAAAAAATAATTACCTCTCATAAATATTACTTCTATTATTTCTTTTTTTTCCTACCTGCTTTACGAAGAAGGAATTTTAAGATTAGCGCTCACAAACAGATGAGAATTCTAAAAATCATGGTTTTGGTTTCTAATGAGTTAATAAGACTCCCCAATGACAGTTTTTTTTTAATCCAAACAGCGATCAATTACAGCTTTTATCATAAAAGGGAGTTTTCATATCTATTATTACGTATCTGCTTGTTTTTTTCCACCTTCTTCATTCATTTTTTGAGGAATACTTCAGATATGCACAGAAATATACAAGAACTTTTAGCAAATTATTGAGTTATTAATTGATAGTTATTATTTTATCTTTTACAAGATTTTCTTTTTCGTGAAACTAAATTTTTACTTGTATGCAAAAAAAATCATCCATTTTTGAAGCCAGGTACCTATTACATGACCTGCACAAAAAAATAGCATGTGATGTATTACTTCAGATTCCAGGTAGGCATAGTCAAGTTAATATACAGAAAACTTTTATTGATCGTGTATTCATAAAAAAAAATATGAGAAGAGTTAATTAATCATTTATAAACGAGACTTTACTGTGTTATTAATCGTTATTTAACTATTTTATTTGTTATAAACCTCACTAACTACTAATTTAGGCAAATAGTATGTGATCCAAAAAAGTTATCGTGAATATTAAACTGGAATTACTCTTGTTTTTCCTAAATAACTAACAGAAAATAGAAATCTGAATTTTTTAATAACAAAAAAAATGTACCTATGAGAAGTTTGAGAAATGTTTAGCATATTTTGAACTATAAATTATAAGTATTAGAAATATGATTCAGAGAAGTGTTGAACATCTTCTGATGATGCTATAACTTGCCTGACAAAACGTGCATTGAAAATGTTTTACTTTACCACTTCTACAACTCTGACGCACGAGCTGCTACATAATATAAACTGAAATAAAAAATTCCATATCCATTCTTCAACTGCAAATAGTCAATTGGGTTTCATATCAAGTTATTACTAACGATTTAAGTACAATATATTATAAAAAATATTAGCATTTAATTTCAAATCAACAAAAATAAATACTGTTTAGATTATAAAGATGGAGAAATATAGAAAGTCAAAACCCTTCTTTCCCAAAAATTAATCTCCTAAAAATAGATTCAGTGGAACGGTAGCCTGGTGGGTTGACGTGAGTGGTTTGTTCCACTCAGTCAATCGACCGTTGTCCGAATCGGTGGTTTGAACCGCAAGGCCGGACGATCGGTTTTCACTTCCTATCGTCCAACCCGTGTTAGAAATCACAACGTTGAAAGGTAAGTTAGTTCTTAGCTCGCACAAGTTTCGACTTTTGAAAGTTGTTTGTAGTGGGGCGACAGCTGGTTAACGGAAAAACAGATTTCAAACAAAACAGATTTTTTCAATATATAACTAAAGTTGTTGGGAGAATGAATAATTTTCAGATCTTTCAGTATATTATTTAACTAGTGAAAAATATGTCCATTACTCGTAAGAATGCAATTTACGAGTGAGTAATGATCACTTCTCACGAGTAGAATATGACATAAGAATATTTTTTGAATAAATTTCGTTTGAGAACAATATACCAAATGAGAGTTACACCATTAAATTTCATAACAAGAAGGATTCAAAAATATTTTCCATTTTTGTTTTCATTAGATTCAGAATATTGCAGTTCTCCACAGAACTGCTTAGAAATTAGTGTGATATAAAGCTATTTACGTTAAAACTACTCTAGTTTTGTCAATAAGTGACAAGAACTTTCGAAAATAACAATTTCAGGTGGTATACATTCTTTTTGACTTGTATACATTCTTTTTGAATTTCTGAGTTAACATTTTCATGAACTATCAGTTCAGATTAAGTTTGACATTTAATAACATATTTTGATGTAGGCAAATTCTCAAGGACTACTTGCGAATGAAAATAATTACTGTAGAGAAATCAATTTGCTCACCTGTGAGTGGCATCGAAGGTAATGAGTTAAGTATCAGCTCAACTATGATTGGCTCATTTTTTACTTACCCAACAATTGACTTATAAAAAAACTCAATTTCTTCTTGACAGGTTGACTCAACACTGAGAAACTTGGGAGCCTTTTTATGTTGGACATACTTGATTCTCTAAAACTTGTGAACTTACATGGAATGTGTATTTCAATCTTTCATGATTGTGCCCTAGTGGTTTCATTTTCAACCAAAAATAATAATAAAAATGAATTAATTTGACTGCTGGGAATGAAAACATGAAACAGTATTTTACCCCTTGACCAAAAAATCCTACATATCCCATAGATAAAATGTATTTTACAAAAAAATATATAGACAGACACAATAAAATTTTCATAATCAGGCAAAAATTATGGAAGATTGAATAGTTCCTGAATTGAGGTTGTAAATCAACACAAAGATGATGAGATTTACGAGTTTTGGATTTTTTAGATCCTCGCATCAAAAGAATAAGGTAAATTATGTTTATTATCGTTGAATATAGAAGTTCAGGAATTGGTTTAGGAAAAATATATTTACAAAGTAAGTATAAGCTATACATGCTCTTTAGGTCTACAACAAATTGACAGCGCCTACAATATTTACCACCCTGTTGTTATACCTCTTGGAAATATCTTCTTCAATTTCTTTCTGTAAGTGCTTTGTTCTTTCAATTAACTTTTGAATGATAGGTTCGATGCTTCTCGCTTCCATTTGTAAAACTTTAATTTTATCCTCCAACAATGTCTTGTTAGATTTCATTTTCTCTACAAGGGACAATTTCTGTTTCAGAGTGGCGGTCAAAATATCTACATATTTGGGTGAATGTTTTATATTGTGCAAATGTTGTATTCTCTTATTGGTCAGCTGGTCAAGTGCCACATTGATGCAAGCGTTCATAGTTGCAACTGATTCTACTGTTTGCATTTGAAGGACAGTTGGTGCGTCTTGCATTTGAGACATTGCAAGCATATCAGATTCACTAGACATTTCGAATAACCTCATTTTCAGAAAAGAGCCAAGTTCCATCAAATTATTTATTATTTGCTCTTGAGTTTTAGGATTATCTAGGATACTCAAAGTTTCCTCACCCCTTGCCACTCCACCGTCAATTCCAGCTTTTTCTACAACAATTCCAGATTCCTCGAGATTTACTTCTAAATCTGCATGAGTAACAATCTCAAATCCGTCTTCGCCATTAGATGATGATCCCCAGTCAATATCTTGTTCCTCGCTAACAGTGATGTCTCCAAAGTCGATGCTACCATTGTCCGTATCAATGTCAAAATCTATATTGGCTTCATTATCACCTGTATCAGCATCCCCAAAGTCTATTTTGTCACTTTCCAATTGTATTTCTTCCTCAGTAATTATAAGAGAACTCTCTTCAATCTCAACTGGTTTTTCGCCATAGGTATATTCATAAGTAGTAGTGTTACCAAATTTAATGAGATACTCTAACACTGGCAATATTTGAACATCTGATTTATTCCCAGACAAGTACTTGTTGAATTCTTTATATAGTTCAATAGCCGGTGACACAATTTTAATTTTTTCAGATGCTATCTCATAAATTGATGGCAACTCTTTTAACAAACTTACTAATTCAGTTTTAATATTATCTCCTGTAATTCCCAGTTGATCACAAGACGAACTAAATTCTTTCAAGGCAGTGGCCTCAGTTTTTGAAAAATCCTTTACTTTTTTCTCACATTCCGTTAAACTCTGCTGTAATTTTGCTACTTGTTTACGTAAACTTGGTATTTCAAAACTTATATTACGAATGAGCATTTGAGATGCCTCTGCTAAATATACATTATCTTTTTGATATGATGATAGTATATCCTGCCAATCTCTCATTCGTTGTGATCCATACCTCCCGAATAAGTTTTTAGAATCTGCCTCCGTTTCTTTAAGAATGTCAACAATTCTTAAGCAATGAAAATAATTTATGTGTTGTCCAGATACTAACTTTATAATACCATCATGAGCTGGCATATCTTGTATAGCATTGTTAATTTTTTCTCTAATTTTCAAAACACAATTTTGCCAGTCTTTATTAACATGTCTTCTGCTTATCAACCAGTCTAATAGTTTTGTAGTATTAATATCAATTGGAATATTTTGCTCATACATTTCAAAATGACTTTGATGTTTTAACGATTTTCACAAAGTTTTGACCATATGTTTTGATTTAAGAGATTTGACAGATGGTCTGATAACACATTACGCTTAAACTTTTATTGTGACACGTGATAATACCAACACCACAGCCAACACTTCAATACACAGTGTGTTTTGGTCTTTTGTTCGCATTTCGCACCAAGTTGATTTCAGACTAGATCTGTCATTACCGCCAAAGGTTATTCGCCCTCTCTGCTTGATCGGGAATGACTTATCCGAGTGGATGATGACAGGAAAAAATTGTGAAGAAATGTTAAGGGCTCTTTGTGATTCTCAACTTCTTTCTTTGCACTCATCAGAACATGAAATTAATTTTTGAAAAGAAGTGGCCAATTTCAATATTCATTTTAGTGTTCACAAAACGCTCCATGGCGCGGCAAAAGAGTCGAATTAAATGTGTGTGAACGTCACAAACCACTTTAAAGTAAGTAGTTTGTGCTGAACGTACTCTGCTACAAAACAAAGCACGTCAGAAAGAGAGGTGCGCAGACGAGATGTGTTCTTAGATTCAGATATCAGATCGGAATGATAATGGAACAGCATAGGTAACAATCAGCAATGTCACTTCGCTTGGCGGGAGAAGTTCGTGCATATCCGTCGCGTTGATGAGTCCGCCATTTTGGGAAGTGCCAGACTTTCTCATTCTGCTTTGCTTTTGTTAGAACGTATATTAACTGTGTTCTGTGCGTATCGTGAATTTTAACTTTTAACATAATGGAAAAATAGGTGGTGGCTTCAGACGATTATGGACTACTCTGAAAAGCAATGAATTCGAATACCTACTGTCACGAAGAGTCAACCAATATACTGTGAATTTTTTTTTTGAAAAATCAGGCAGCAAAATAGAAATTGTTTCAACCCGACTCTCATTCAGTTCCAGAGAAGTTTCAAAAATTTATTTGAATTTGTTGAATTTAGGAAGTGAAAATTGTGAGGGAGATATAGACAAAATACTATTAAAAATTTCCAATTTTCCCAACTACAGTGAAGTTCCTAAAGCCAAAGAAGTTGCTTGTAAATCGAAGCTTTCAGTAGTGGACACTGATTAAAGAACCAGTGATGTGCTCCAGCAAAATGTTATGGTATATATTTGCGGATATTTCATCAGTTCGGACTTCCATTGTCTAATATAATATAAATTGATTCGATAACCCTGAAAAAAAATCAAGAAGATTAACCGAAAATAACAATTGTATTAAACAAAAAACTGAAATCACAAAAAAATAACATAACAACAACAACCAAACAAATAAAGATTGAAATATCGATAAAAGCTGAAAAAATTAAAAATATTAGTAACAAAAAATGAAAAAATAAAAATTAAAAGATTTCAAACCAAGTTATGTCACAACGTTTCGATTGTGGGTGATGATTTTTATTTGTTTGGTTGTTGTTGTATGTTATTTCTTTGTAATTTCAGTTTTTTGTTGAATAAAATTATCAGTTATCACCCGAAGACGATCATGAATACTAACAATCGAAACGTTGTGACATAACTTGGTTTGAAATATTTTATTTTTTAATTTTTTGTTAATAATATTTTTAATTTTTTCAGCTTCTATTAATATTTCAATTTTTATTTGTATGGCTGTTGTTGTATGTTATTCCTTTGTAATTTCAGTTCTTTGTTTAATAAAATTGTTATTTTCGGTTAATTTTTTTGATTTGTTTAGGGTTATCAAATCAATTTATATTACATTAGAAAATGGAAGTCCGAACTGATTAAATACACCACGAAACATTGTCAATCACTTTTCAAACATATTTGCGGATACTTGATAAATAAATTACTGAAAATTCATAGTTGTGACATTTGTGTGAGCTATTCCAAAACAAATTGTGAATTAAATAATGAATCTCTCTATTGTTATTTCAGAGCATTTCATAATGGACCTCTTGACACATTCGGTAACTTAAGGATGCCCAAAAATAAATTTGTTTATTTTATTTCTTCCTTGGAAGGAAACTTCCAAAGCAATTTGGAGAATCTTATTGTAGTGGTGCAGGTTTTTCCGGGTTTTCCTGCAGCTGAAAAAGCAAATGCGCCATTGGAATCAATGAAGTCGCCCCGAAGCGCCAATTAATTTTTATTGTTGTTTTTATTTTATTTTTTTCGTTGTTTTAATAAAACAGTTATTCAGGAACAAATGTCATTGCAGAATTTGCATCATTGTTTGAACAATTTAAAAGGTGGAAGAATGAAATAATAACTTGGAGACACGAATAAATATCCATTCTAAAATGCAAGGAGAACGTCAATTCTTATAACAAAGAACAAGTAATTCAACTGAAAGGTTAATTCCATAGTAATATACGAAATCACATTTATTTTAAAAGATGGTAGATCATGAAGTTTATACCAAAAAGTTGACTGCTGGACAATTTCTCTTTCATATTCCAGTTAATTGAATCATCGTATTCCTACTGGTGCTTTTAGAAATATAATTCGGCTGTTTTGACATTTTTTTAAAATATCATGTACGCAGATAGAATGTCTGCGCAAGAATTATTATATCAATTGAATTTGGCTCCATTACGTAAGTTTTATCAAAATTATATTTGGCTATAAAAAAGTTTGAGTGAGAACCTGTCCAAAACCATTTCTCGAGTCCTGCCCTCTTATCGGCACGTCCCAAGCCCAAAATGGCGTCTAGATACTTTTCCACATCGAAGGCGGCATGGCCAAGTGACCATGCTGATTGTTACCTATGCTGTGGTAATGGTAGCTAGTACTGTTCCCAATTTTTAATGTAATCATAATCATCATTATCTTTATTTGATAAACATTGTTTTGAATAACCCTTGTTATTATATTCATATGAAGTTATCACATTATCAGGCTATGCCTATAAATTTTTGGCCCTCCTGTTTAGCAGAAAATACCTCACTGAAGACTCACTCAGCACGAAACAGGAGCCATGAACTTTTTGATAAATGAAAAATTTGAAGGTTGTCATCCTAAAAATATACTCAAGTTCTTGGTGGACTGAACATGGTAAAATAAAGCTAGTTTGATTAAAATTTTGGCTTAACAATCTGGCGATATGACACCGCGATTCAGTTGATCTTAATCCGGCCGTACACGGACCACATATTTGCAGTTGAGGCAACCACAACCCACAACATTGTGGCCATGTTGACTGCACTTTGCGTCAACGTCAACGTGGCCACAATGTTGTGGTTGCCTCAACTGCAAATATGTTTGCAGATTAGTAAAAATCAGCAGACATGACTTCTCTCTCTAGGTTTGTTCTGGTTCTACATCCGAAACTGTTTGGAAACTGCGCAAGACATGGTGCGTACAAGCAAAAAATCTCAAACAGTCCGAAATAGTCTCGGACATTTGTTCAAACCAGAACGCTTTTGAGGAGACCACTGTGCCACCTATCGTATATATGAAGAGATGAAGACAAGAAAATACTATAAATCATGTCCATTTTGTTATGTAGCGTATCCCTATATTCAGTTCAAATGTTATCTACCCTCAATCATCAATTATTCAAATCAAATAAATAAATATCCTAGCGAATAGCCCAAACAAATTTCCACACGAATGCGCATGAGCAACGGGAACAGTTCTCAACAGTTTAGCCTCGAGAGCAAGGTCGATTCGGGACGGTTCAAAACAGTTTAGGATCATTTCGCAGTCGAAACCAGAACAGAGAATTCATCAGTCCGAAATTATCCTCAATAAACCAGAACGCTCTATATCAATTGCGTATGATCCTGACGTCCTAGAACCTGAATTTCGTAGAGCCAGAACAAACCTTCTATTTCAATGTTTTTGGCTTTCGCTTCCATTCAGGCCAATCAGACAGATTTTTGTTTCACCATTTGGCTTAGTTCTAATATTTCCAGAGGTCATACATGGGACAAGACATGAACAACCAGAGTTATTCAAACTCTGAAACGACGGAAGTGGAACCTCAGAAATCATATAACAGAACTAAAAACTTTCTGTGCCACAGACAAAAACGCTTAATAAAATTCGAGAAGAAAATTAACACGATTTTCATACTTGTGTAAAACTCGTTTTGTACCTCATTTTGGATATATTTGAAAATGCTTCAATACCGAAATTTGTCCAGAAAGATAATACAATTGTGTTACAGAGTGGGTATATTTGTAACGCCTCTGTAGTATAGTAATGCTGACAATAGGTACCACATACACAATACATTATTTCAGGAAGAGCTTCAGAACTAAGACCCAGTTTCAGTAATAGGATAGCAAGTATTGTCATCCGTCGTATTTGACACAGTTTCTAGTCACAATATGTAAGTTCTGTGGATATTGCTCGCACCTATTTCCTGTCAGCTGACGGCTGACAGCAGAAAATTATCATACGCAGACGTTTAAAATGTTGAGAGTTGAGAGATGTCATAATAAAGAATATTGTGATGTTTATCTTGAAGTGTTGAAAGTTAAATGCTATTTTCAATATTTTAGTGATTATAAATGTGGACAGTTATATTAAGAATATTATATTGATGAGAGAATTCCATACTTATTGTTGGCAGAAGTATTGTCCTACCTATTAATTTTACCAATTAGACTAGGTTTAATGTAGAGTATAATAACTGGGTGATCTATATATAGTAATTTATTGAAATAAGGTATTAAATCACTTCTGCTTCAGTTATTTACTTATCATGTAATTTTATTCAAACCTGAAATACTGGAAGTTTTTTATTATCAAAAATGACGACTGTGGCCATGGAGGAATATGAGTTGATGAAAGACCCAAAATATCGTTTGTATGTGGCAGCAGTCGATAAAGCTTTGAAGAACTTTGAATTTTCTTCCGAGTGGGCTGATTTAATCTCTGCTCTAGGAAAACTGAATAAGGTATAGAGAAACGAAAGTGTAAACAAACGGACCTAATAACTTATTTTCAGGTTTTATTGAGTTACACTAAATTTCCTGTTATTCCAAGACGTATTAAAATAAGCAAAAGACTTGCACAATGTATGCACCCAGCGTTACCTTCTGGGGTACATCTGAAGGCCCTAGAAACATATGATATAATATTCCGCTGTATGGGAACAAATAGGTTGGCTTGTGAATTATTCATCTATAGTGCAGGTGAGTGAGCACAATTTTCTTTCTATAATATTTTTTTTCAATTAAGTGTTCTGAAGCAATCTTTTGAAATATATCCTTCATATTATTAGATATTATAAAATGATAGTTATGAATCTACCAGGTAAATGGAAAAATGAATTTCTCAAGATGCCATCCTTATTTTTATAGAAGGATAAATATCAACAAGATTTAAATTTCATCATCTTGAAATCTGAATATATATTTTTTTCTATTAGTTAGTTTTTCTATTCTGTGTATTATTTCTACTGATCACTGAAAGCTAAATACTTGAATTGTGGCACATCACCTAGGTCAGAAAAATTAATGTAGAATATAATATTCTCTCCAATTAAAAAAAATCAATCAGGCACTAGCAATTAACATATTTGAATTACTCAGTATCCCACATCCAATTTATATCTGGAGAATGAATTTCACAATATTGCCTATCTGTATGGAGTGAAAAATGTACATTTATTTATTCTGTTACCAATTGACCCACAATTTGAAAAGATAAAAATTGTATTCGAGACCTTTATACAAGTGTAGAGAAGGCAACTTTTTAGTGACTTGTATTCAAAAATTTTGACCAAAAAAAAAAGCTAAAAAATTGTATATTTGTCTAAGGTTTGGAAGGAATCTATCTGTCTTCAGAATTGAAAAATTCAATGTATCTTGCAGTTTTGTCTTCGGTTCATTTTGATTTTGATACTTTCTCGACAGATGTCAAAGCCGTCCATTAATATTTTTATTTTTTCACATTGTGGAAGGTGACATTCCTCCAAAAAAGGTCTATAAAAGGTGTGATTTCCTTTACAAAAAATATTTTTCCTTCAATATTTCAAATTTGGTATTGCAAAATATATCAAACTAGGAAATCCAAAAGTCTCAATACCAGTATTGGAAAAAAATTATGTATATATTCAACGTAAAATTTGTTGTTTAGATATAATTTCCCTAATAATTGAGTTTATATATTTAGTTAAGGTCCCTATTATAAACATTTACGTTTCTTGGGATCAATACACAATGATGATGATAATGATGATGTGGAAACCTAAAGATTAAACTTTTTTTATCACTACAAATGAATAAGAAAGAGAGACAAAGTAAACAAACATAGGCATCTCAGAAGCAATATTATAACAAAAAGTTGAGCACTGGAGGTTTTTAAACCCCAAATATCCATTTATATCAATCTCATTTTGTTTTCCATTTGTTACTCATTTCATATTTTGCTTCATGTTAAAAATATCCACCATGAGTAATTTTCTCAGAGTTATCTTATCTTTGACCCCTATTTATCACATAGTGTACAAATGACTTATCCTGATTCTGATAGTTTGAAAATTGATGAAAAAATATTGCCAAATTTTCCAATTTGTTCTAGCATTGTTTGTTCAATTACTATACCTACAGCCAATGTGCTTAAATAAATAAGCATGAGAACTATTTTAAACGACTCGGCACTAATCTTATGGAAAATCGGTTTCGGTGAAAATCGCTGAAATTTCAATAATATGTAGCCCATGCCATCCTAAATAAAAGTTACTATTGCGCCAACTCTCTGAATGCCGGCGTTTGGATTCTACGGGAGGTCAAAGTTTGATATTTTGATGATTTTTCAAAAAATCTGGAATTTCATTTTCATCGTATTGATCTGAATTTTTAAAATGGAATAGTCCACAATGTGTGCATCAAAACGTTCCTATGACAAAAGTTCCTAGAATCAAAACTGGCTGTAAACTTTGTTTTTGGTAATTTTTATCAAACTATTTTCAATTTAGGTAAAATGTATCCATTTGTATAGTTAGCTTCCACCAATGTATTTAGCTGATTTTTCGAAACTATGTAGCTTATATATGTACAAATGTGTCAACGTCTGTGCTCATTAATATGAATCCAAATAAAAGTTGCGGCGATGGTCCAAAGAAAAGGAAAGGGATATTTCGGAATAATTTTGAAATGATTTCTAAAATCATCCGTGAATTTCTTTTATTTTCTGACATAATGTAGATGAGTCATTCTTGATCAATGCCACAATGCCTACCTTGCGAATGGCACGGTTCGAATTATACAGTATAGTATTTTTTTTAATGTTTTTTACTACTTTTATTTGTAACTAACGTTACTGCAGTTTCGTCCTATACGTCCAAACTTATACTTATACAAACTTATTGCATAAGTTTGAAAATGTCCGTATAGGACGAAACTGCAGTAACGTTAGTTACATACAGTAAGTTTGTATAAGTATAAGTTTGAAAATGTCCGTATAGGACGAAACTGCAGTAACGTTAGTTACAAATAAAAGTGGTAAAAAGCATAAAAAATACCTTACTGTATAATTTAAACCGTGCCATTCGCAAGGTAGGCATTGTAGCATTGATCAAGAATGACTCACATACATTATGTGGTAAAAAACATAGAAAGTTTCATTTCTTTTTTCTTCATTATGATTTCCTACCACTTAGTAACGGCTACATCCATCAATTTAGTATAATATTTCACTTAATTTCCCTGCAATTCCAGCACTATTTCATTTTTCAAAAGTTGTCTTTTGATACACTAGTTTCAAGTTCTGGTAGTCTGGTTCTTCATATTCTCGAATTATGTACAGTTGCTTGCATAGAAAAGTAGTACACTTAATTTCAACAGTGTAAACACGACTTTCTTAAATTGATAACTGCTATCTTTCTTCTGTGTCTCTCTAACTTTGTCTGAAACGCCAAAGGCAATTTTGAAATATTAAATTAACAAAACACATTGTACTGTACTGAAATAACAACGTTTTTGTTTCCAATTCTTGTACCTACTACTTTTCTGTAAATGTACTATTCCATATCCAAAATACCGCAGTCCTTGAAATGTCATTCGATTGCTGTCAGAGTTATAAATGTTTTTGATAGCAAATATATTTGATGTGCTGAACGTTGATGGTTGGTTAAAGTTCTGGTCATCAATTACCTGTTTCTTTTTATTTTCTGCTTTTCAAAGTTAGATAAGGTGAGATAATTATTATATTCAGTTGTATCTCATATTGGAATATTCCCAGGTCATCATGACCTATCAAAATCAAGTGAATTTTATCAGTTGGGACTTCCATTGTCTAATATAATATAAATTGATTTGATAACCCTGAAAAAATCAAAAAGATTAACTGAAATTAACAATTTTATTAAACAGAAAACTGAAATTACAAAGAAATAACATACAACAACAACCAAACAAATAAAAATTGAAATATTTATAAAAGCTGAAATAATTAAAAATATTATATGTTATTTCTTTGTAATTTCAGTTTTTTGTTTAATAAAATTGTTAATTTCGGTTAATCTTTTTGATTTTTTCAGGGTTATCAAATCAATTTATAATATATTAGACAATAGAAGTCCGAAATGATGAAATACACTACGAAACATTGTCAACCACCTTCAAACAAAAATCAAGTGAATTGCTTTGCATGAGATACCCAATCAATACCAGCTCGAATGTCGTATCTTTTTCATAGAAAAGAACATTTGGAAAAGATCAAATAGCATTTCTAGGCGGGAAGCACGAGTTGGTCACCCTCCCATTATAGGAGAAGAAATAAGAATATGTTCAAACTGTAATCGATCTATTATGAATGAAGTAAGGACTTCGCGACTCTATCCAATAAATGCTGCAGGGCCAACGTCTTTGTCCATCGGAATATATTCATCCCGGATAACATGTAGGCTTGCATATTATTCTTCTCTATAATTTTCCACCTTTGCCCCGATCCTCTCCAGAATACACTTGTTTAACAGCATACGATCTTTTTCGAGAATAAGTTATTGTTTTCATCCTGTACTTTTCTAAAACATCGGTTGGAGACGAGGTGGTCCTGGTCCTAATAGAATTTTTGAATATATAAAATATGAATAGTAAACGAATAGTAATATTTTGGAAAAATAAACTTTTTTTTTGGACGAGTTGCAACCTTCTTCGATGCACGACGGTGGTCTATTAGTTTCGGCAAAATACATTAAACCTTGGTATGTTTGAAATAATTTTTATCTAGATCTGCCATCTTATGTACCTGTCAAGTATTCAATTTATTCTTTATTTTATCATAATATATTTTTTTGCATGTTTGGATTTCATACCTTTTTCCCAATAGACCACCGTCGACCGCATATGTAATTTCATTTGAATTATGTCATCTGGCGGCGAACGGAAAGAGTTTGTAGGGGGTTGTTATTTCATAAGAATAATTGTTAGCAGATGGCAGTGCAATCTAGGTAGATCCCCGGTTTGATGTTTGGAGAAATATTGCTATGGATCGCTGGTTTGTCAGTTGCGATCTCGTCAAAAATTGAAGACAGAATGTAGACTCAACATCTGCCGCAAATTTTAACACATACTAAACATCGTCCTGTATGTAGGCTTCTCCATTTTTGGGTTCGGTGTTCATATGTTGGCATCTTCTTATGTGCCCAGAAAGATAATGTGCTGATGATATCTTCGTTCCACAAGAGTGATACAGTCGATCTAATAACTGGTAAACCAAAATTTATTTTATTTTGTAATACTACTAAATGTGGAGTCGATATTGTGGCTGAAATGAGCTCCAGTTATAACATTGCAAGGAATACGAAACGATGACCTTTAGTTGTGTTTTTCGGTATTTTGAACATTGCTAGCATAAATGCATTCATAATTACCAGGCACAACGACCCGAATCAGAATCATAGTAAACAGAGCAGACTATTTATCAAGAATTTGGGTTTGGAGTTAATAAAAGACCATATGCAGTTCAGAGCTACTATGTCAGGTTTACATTCCTACATTCGAAATGCAATAGTTAAACATACTGGAATCGACACTGAAGAAAAACCTGACCCTCCACCCAACAAAAAAGGGCACTGCAAGTATTGCAAAAAGAAAAAAAACTCGTTATTTTTGTAAATTTTGTAAAGCTTGACTCTGTATGAGTCACATAATATTGAGTTGTAGGAAATGTGTTCAGCACTGGTCCT